AATATACCTCTTCCAAAGCTGCACTACAAAAGATACTTAAAGATGTTCTCTTGACAGAGAAAAGGAATAGCACCCTCCAAAACCAATTGCAAATATAGAGAACATCCCAATGAAATAACAACAGAAGACTAAATCAATGAACAACCCATTGCTAAAATGGCAGGACCAAATTAGCATCCATCCATATTAACCCTGGATGTAAATGGCTTAAACTCGTCAATCAATGCCATAGATTAGTAGACTGGATTTAAAAAGCAACCCCATGTATTTGTTGCCTATAGGAGACACATTTCATCAACAAAGATCAGCGAAAACCCTATCTCATGAATTTTAATTTTTTAAAGTTTCATCTCTTCAAAAGACTTTTTTTATGATTAAATGCTTCACTGACTCACAGATGATACGATATCATCATTTTCTTCAAGAAGATACTTGATTTTCTTTTTCATTTCTTCAGCAACATATTAATTATGCAGTAGCATGTTATTTAACCTCATGGCATTTTTATTTTCTTCTTTTCTTCCTGTTGTTAATTTTGTTTTGTGGCTTTTCACTTATAGCAGTGTATGCTAACTATAATGGAGACTATCATATCCAGATGTGAGGATACAGTGCAGTATGCTTCTCTATTTCCCGGTCAAAGATAGATTTCCAATGAAATTATTAACTATATCTTGACAATAGGATGCTGGACTCTGCCATTGTCCATACTCACAGTGATTGACATATAACTGTTCATGAATAACTATAATTATAACTATAATTATTATAGTATCTATAATAGTAATGTGGGGAACTAAGTGGCAGTGGTGGGAGATGACTTGGGGAAGAGGGGAAGGAAATCTCAGGGCTTATAGAATTGTATCATAAAATGATAATAATAATAATAAAAGAATCCATTGATAAGGGCCCGGCATAGTAGCCTAGTGGCTGAAGTCCTCGCCTTGCAAACACTGGGATCCCGTATGTACACTGGTTCATGTACTGGCAACCCTACTTGCCATCTAGCTCCCTGCTTGTAGCATAGGAAATCAGCTGAGGACAGCCCAAAGCTTTGGGACCCTGCACCCATGTGGGAAAACCAGAGAAAGCTCCTGGCTCCTGATTTCGGTTTGGATCTATTCCGGCCATTGCTGCCACTTTGAGAGTGAATCAGTGGATGGAAGATCTTCCTCTCTGTCTCTCCTTTATGTATATCTGACTTTCCAATAAGTAAGTAAGTAAATAAATAAATAAATCTTTAAAAAAATCCACTGATGAAAATTGCTTTCAGCTGGTTCTTTACCAATCAGCATGCATCAGATCTAACATATAATACTAGTTACATTTTAAAATATCGTACCTCCCCTATTGCAGACCCAGAACCAACATACCCAAGTAAAATCGCTGAAAATAAACGAGTTATTAATTTAAAATGTTAGTTTTAGCTTATACATCCCAATACTTTTCTAACTTAATGTTTAATTCTTTTTTTCAATTAATTTCACTTTATTTGAAAGGTACTATATTATAGACACAAATTAAGTCTTCCATCCATTCCTTCCTTTTTTTTTTAAAGATTTATTTATTTTTATTGCAAAGTCAGATATACGGACAGGAGGAGGAGAGAAAGAGAGGAAGATCTTCCGTCCAATGATTCGCTCCCCAAGTGAGCGCAACGGCCAATGCTATACCGATCCGAAGCCAGGATCCAGGAACTTCTCTTGGGTCTTCCACAGGGGTGCAAGGTCCCAAAGCTTTGGGCTGTCCTCGACTGCTTTCCCAGGCCACAAGCAGGAAGCTGGATGGGAAATGGAGCTGCCAGGATTAGAACAGGCGCCCATATGGGATCCTGACGTGTTCAAGGCGAGGACTTTAGCCACTAGGCCACGCAGCTGGGCCCCATTCATTCCCTTTTAAGGTGGTATAACAGCCACACCAGGGCCTGATTCCAATGACAGAATTATATCTGGGTCTTCTGTGTGGTTGGGAGAGCCCTGAACACATACAGAAGTGATAAACGGCTGGCTCTCAGTATGTGCATTAGCAGGAAGTTGGATCAGAAGAAGAGGAGCTAGCTTGCTAACCAGTTACTCTGGTATGCTTTAGGGGCCTCACAAGGAGTAGCTCAAGCCTTGGAATAAATACCCTGTGTAATGGTATATACTTTATATAATGGCTTGGCCATTGCGTTTAACATTGTCTTACATGAGGATTGTTGAATTAAATATGTTAGTTTCATATATCATAAACAGGTTTAACTTCCTCTCGTTTTATGTTGAATTTCTTTTGTCAAATTTTTTTGTATTTCTCTTGCTTTCACATTTAAATTTTCTTTTTTGCTCATTATATTATTTTACGTGATATGTCTGTGTGTATTTTAGAAGTATATATTCTATTAAATAGAATTATATTACAAGTTTTAAACAGCACACATGATACCTCTAAATATCAATATCTATCTATCTATCTATCTATCTATCTGTCTGTCATCCTGAACATCATTGAATCTTAAAACATTTACCTCAAGACACACCCATTCCAGTTTCTGTAGTATTGTGTTTGGATGTTATAGATTGTCCGTATTTAACCACACACCACAATGTAACTCCTGTGTCAGAGTCCACATTTACACAAATTTACTTCAGATCTGCCACTTTTTCATCACTTTTCTGCTTTCTCCCTAAATCTGAGCTCTTCCAACTAGAATTACTTTCTTTTCAAGTAAGGTATAAGATAGAGAATTTTCCATGCGGCTCTTTCCATGGCAGACTCCTTCTTCAACATCAAAAACTGGTTCTTCTGCCATGATGCTGAAAGATATTTTCATTATAGCCTAGGATTTTAAATCGACAGTTACTTTCCCTTTTTACCTTGAAGATATCTGTTCTCCTTCAACTGCCTTTCAGAGTGGCTCTCGAGAATTTACCTTTCTATAAAATATTTCTGGTATGCTGCAGGACTCCACTTGTGAATGATGGGTTCAATATGGGATAATCTGTAGTTTCTGTCATATGTGGGTTCAAGGTGTAGAAAATATTAAACTGCTGTAAATTTTTTAGACTTATATAATATGTAAGTGCATGCTTTGGTTACTTGTGGAAATTTTAGTTATTTTATTGGAAAGTCAGATTTACAGACAGAAAAAAAGACATAAAGAAAGATCTTCTGTCTGTGGGTTCACTCCCCAAGTGACTATAAGTGCCAGAGCTGAGTCAATTCAAAGCCAGGAGCCAGGAGCTTCATCAGGGCCTTCCATGCCGATGCAGGTTCCCAAAGCTTTGGACCATCCTCAACTACTTTCCCAGAAAGTAAGGCCAGAAGCAAGAAACTAAATGGGAAGTGGGGAAGCCAGAACACAAATTAGTGCTCATATGCGATGCCAGTGTTGTGCAAGGTGAGAATTTAGGCAGTGACCCAGGAATTCAGTCTTGAGAGAATGGTTTCTTATTAAATACAGTCGGTTTTGTATGGCACTTAGAATTTTATTGGAAAATCATAAATGATTAATGTGCATAAAAATTATAATTGCATCGGTAAAAATAAGGTCAAAATAAGGCTGGCATTGTTGCATCATGGGTAAAGCTGCCACCTGAAGCATTGGTCCATGTTCCAGTTGCTCTACTTCTGATCTGGCTACCTGCCAATGGCCTGGGAAAAACAGTGAAAGGTGATCCAAGGCTTTGCTGTCCTTCACATGGTAGACCTGGACAAAGTTCCTGGCTCCTGCTTTTGACCAGGAGCCATTGTCACCATCTTTCTCCTTGTCTCTCTGCCTCTTCCCCTCCTTTTTCATTTCCCATCCCTTCCTCTTTCTCTCTCTTTACTGCTCCCCCCCCCACCATTTTTCTCTGGTTAATTCTGGTTTTCAAGATAAATATATATTTTTAAATGACAACAACAATGATAATAGTAAATGAAACTAACTAACTCACTAGTATCCAATAGCATGGGTCATGTTTCTGTACGTTGGTATAAATGTTTCAGTGCTTTTCTATCTTGTATTATCTAAATGTTTTGTAGTGAGACCAATCCTGAATTAACATGCTGAAAAATTGCCATTAAGAAGCTATAGAGTCAGCTTAACACAACTGTCGTAATCATTTTTATTCCATTCGCTTATGAGCCAAAATTACTTATACCCAGGAACAAATCTCATTAATTAGGCGGCAGGATGATTATGAATGCAACCAGATTAGGATTCTAAATCTCTCTAATTATAGCAGGCATTAATTAATTAAGATATCTATATCTCTGAATTCTGATTTATCTTCCTGTCATTTTAGATATCATGTAAGACTCTTTTGGGCCCACTGCAATAGCCTACTGGCTAAAGTCCTCGCCTTACATGCACCAGAATCCCATATGGGTACCAGTTCTAATCCTAGCATCCCCACTTCCCATTTAGCTCCCTGCTTGTGGCCTGGGAAAGCAACTAAGGACAGCTGAAAGCCTTGGGACCCTGCACTCACATGGGAGACCCAGAAAAGGCTCTTGGCTCCTAACTTTGGACTGGTTCTGCTCCAGCCATTGCAGCCGCTTGGGGAGTGAATAATTGGACGGAAGATCTTCCTCTCTCTGACCTCCTCTCTGTATATCTGACTTTGTAATAAAAATAAATGCATCTTTAAAGAAAGAATCTTTTATATATTTCTTCCTTTTGAGCAGTATGCTAGGTGCAAAGCACACTCAACATGCCTTTTATACCAAGACAATCATTGTATCAGCAACAAGTTCCGTCCTTCCATCAGTTTGGATCAGAACCTAGGTTGAACTCTATAAACACATCAGAACATTTGACTCATTGACCTCATTCCTGCTTATTCAGCTTAACAGTCATTGTCCCTCTCATTCAACTATTTCAATACTGTTTATCAATTTAATATCCAGAAATCTGATATTATGGATCTGTTATGTTGTAAATTACACACAGAAGCACTGGTTGTATAAATGGAAATCAACACTTTAATATTGTCTTTTTCCCCCTGTTTATTTATGATCTCTGTTTCCCCCTTCCCCAGGCTACTGATAGAGATACTGGCAATTATAGCACCATGGCATACAGACTTATCATACCACCAATCAAAGAGGGAAAAGAAGGATTCGTGGTGGAGACCTACACCGGGCTCATCAAAACTGCTATGCTCTTCCACAATATGCGCAGGTCCTACTTCAAGTTTCAAGTCATTGCAACTGACAACTATGGGAAGGGACTGAGCGGCAAAGCAGATGTCCTTGTAAGTAAATAAAATTCCAGTTATTGAGGGTACTTGTAATAATAAGTAAGCTTGGCGTTTTCAGTCAAAACGAAGATTAAAGTAAAAGGAAATCTTTCAAGCGTAAATGTCATTTTATAGAAATGTTAGTATAAATGCTATTATTAAATTTATAGAATGAGAATTAGGTGGTCATGATTCAAGTTTTTTATACCTATTCCCTCATTTTCCTCTTAGCATCTCTCGCATGAGTGTCTAATATCTGTATCACAACGACTGAACTATGCCAGCTTCTGCTAATTTTTTAAATACCAACTTCTTTAATCTCCCCTGCTCTTCTAAGTATCTAGTAACCACTATTCTAATTTCAAATGGAGTTGTTTTGTGTTTGGTGTTGTGTTTGTGTGTGTATGGGTGGGGGGTATTTGTATTAGACGCCACGTGTAAAGGAGGATGTGTAGGATTTGATTTTGGTGTCTGGTTTGTTTTGTTCAATCTAGCGTGCTCGATTTCTATCCATTTTGCAGTAACTATCAGAACTTCATTCTTTTAAAAAATATAGAATAGGATAGTATTCTGTCATGTCATTGTGCCACAATTATTCATGTTATCTCATGATAGATACCTTAGTTGGTTCCAATTTTTTTGTCTTCTGCTTTAATCTGGATGTCTGTGATACACTGAGGTCATGTCTTGGGGTGCATACCCAGGGCTGGGGCTTGGGGATCCTACGGTAGTGCTTTTTCTGATTTTTGAAGAAATCTCCATACTGTTTTCTACAGTGGCTGTTGTAATTTCTTCTACCACTAATGATACGTAAACATTTGCCTTTCTCTACATCCTTGCTAACATTTCTTGCTCTCTGTCTTGAATAACAGCCTTTCTGAGAGGGTGAAGGTGATTCTTTTTTTATAGTTTTGGTTTGCATTTCCCTCATGGCTTGTGGTATTGAGCATTTTTTCTAGAATTGTAAGGCTTTTGTGTTTCTTCTTTTGAGAGTTGTTAATCTGCTGAAGGGTTTTTTTTTGTTTTGTTTTGTTTTTTTTGAGGATCATGCTTGGCGTTAGGTTTAGCATCTAAAAGACTCATAATACACTGAGAAGCACTATACATTTGATAAAGAAAAAAACCTCTCCTGGAAACACATCTAACAGCCATTCTCAAAAAGCATTTATTTGCTTCTTTTCATAAACAGCAGAACTGTTACATTGACGTTTTGATTTGTGGCCCATCTCCTATATGTATTCCCTTTTAAGTTTTTATTAATGTGAACAGAATAGATGTTTTGTTGTTGTATTTAGCCTGTTGTAACTGAGAAAAAAAAAGGAAATATTTTGTGGCAAATTTATATTCTCAAGGATGTGATTTCCTTGTTTGTTAAAATTTCTATTCATCGTATTGATAATCTTGGCTAAATTATACATGTCTAGAGTTGTTGATATTTCCTGTTTTTAAAAAATGTCTTTTGTCTCTCAAAGACTGGTGGGAGATCATTTCCATAGGCATTTTGATATTAACTTTATTTTAAATGTTTATCACTAAAATAGTCATCTCATGGAATCTGTACTAACATCTAAGCCTGGGTGTTGATTTGTTGTTATTGTTGTTATTTTTTATTTGTTTTAGTGGACTTTTCTCTGGTAAATGTAAGAAATTTTTTTCATTATTGGAACAAGGTCAGGGATGTCTTGTCTGTTCTTTTTGATAGCTTAATAAATCTTTACATTCCAAGCCAAAGCCATGTGCTAAGAATTCATTTAAGTTTCCCACGTGCATGAGAAGGACTCAAGAACTGGAGCCATCAAGTGCAGCTTCCCAAGATATGCATTAGCAGGCGGCTGAATCAGAAGCTGAGGCAGGAGTCATTACCAGATATTCTGACATGGGACACTGGTTTCCACCTGTGATTCACAGTATCCACCCCAATTGAATAATTTGCCAATACAGCTTAACAAGATTTTAGATTTTTAATCAAAACTAACCCTGAAGGAAGTGTAATATGAAAGAAAGTACACAATGACACCAAAAATCCCTTGAGATATCCTTTTAATTTCATAGAAAGTAGACATCTAACACAGACCAGCTGGGGAGTCTGTGTCCAGTCGAGGTAGAAAGTGGTAAATTTCTCCCCAGCTGATCATTTGTCGTACATTCCATTTTCCATATGTGGCTGAACAATACTTGCAGTGTAGCCAGATCACAAGAAAAAGTGTGTTTTATGTAAAACTCAGATAAAACATTGGAAAATATCTGCTTACTGAGATGATGGCATATTGGAAAGATAATGTATAGCACACCTTGAGTTTAATTCATAATTTTTGTCCTTTTTATCTCTTTAATGTAGGTATCAGAAATGTTAAAACAATTATTTGGCATATTTTTGTGACTTTTTAAAGAAGATTTATTTATTCACTTCAAAGGCAGAGTTACATATAGATGGTGAGATAGCTTCCATCTGCTGGTTCACTTGCAAAATGACTGCAGTGGCCTGAACTGCATCAGTTTGAAGCCAGGATCTAAGACACTGCTCTGGCATTCTCAAACGCATGCAAGGGTCCAATCCGGTGTTACTTTCACAGGCACATTAGCAGGGAGCTGTGCTGGAAGTAGAGCAGCTAGGACTTGACTCAGACCTCATGAAAAGCCATCATCTCAGGAAGTGGCTTTCCTTCTCTGCCACAATGTGAATCATATTTCTGTTGGATGACCTTACCTACACTTTATAAATTTTTGATGAATAAGTGAGAGTAGGAGCAAGTGAATGTAAAAGTTTGTAAGGAACTGTTGAAGGAAACAAAATTTGCAAATTGGCAAAATTTGTTTTTTAATCATATATTTTCTAATGTCCTCTTTTAATTTTTACCGTGCTTCATAATTTTATGGCTTCCTATAGATCAATTCCAACAATGATAGAAAAGGTAAAGAAAAAAAAACTGTCAGTAGTAATTGGGAAATGAGCTGAATTTTTAACAAAACATAACTTCTAAGGTGTCAATGTTACGATATCGCAAATATCTGCTTCTGCAGCACTGGCATCCTATATGGACACCAGTTCAAGTCTTGGCTGTTGTATAACTTTCTGTTAAGGAAACTTGGAAAGCAGCTGAATATGGCCCAAGTGCTCGAGCCCCTCAGTGCACCTGGGAGAATGGGAAGACTCTCCTGGGTGCTCATTCCTTTCTGGTCCAACCCTGACTTTCACAACTATTTGAGAAGATGTCCAAAGGATGAAAGATCTCTCTGTCCCTTCCTGTTACAGCTCTACGTTTTCCTTTCAAATAAATAAATCTTTAAGAATGGTAAGGGTGAGTGTAAATTCATGGCAAAATTCTCACGAGAGTTCATAACTGAGAATTTAATGAAAGTTTAATTTATGAAGCTGTAGACAAGATGTATATATTAATATATACATTATCCAAGATCAATGAGGGCAGTAAGAGCAGGGATACAGTGAGAGACCGAAGGACAAGGAGGATAGGGAAAATACAAGCTTATGAGGATGTGGAGAGATGAGAGATGTTTGAAAGGCAGGACAGTCAATAATGGAAAGCTGCATTGGAGGAAACAGAAGTGGGGAGTGATTACCCCTATCGCTCTCCCTCCATTTCCAATTTCCTGATGATACAACCCTTCATGTACCCTGTCCACAGTCCATACTAACCCCACCCACAGTCTGTTCTCAAGAGTTACGGGAATTAGGAATTGATTCAGCAACAATTCACTGGGGACAGTTGATTGCAATTGATGATGGGCAGCTCCAGAGCTACAGAGTAAGGTCTGGCATTCCACTTTGTGAGATAGTGTCTTCTGAGTACACCTGTTTAAAGCTATTTGCTTTGTACCAGGAATTAATCTTTTTTTTTTTTACCCTTTTGTGCCATGTTATGTTTTATAGCAAAACATTTGTATTTATTGATTCCTCTTATCCACTTGCAGTTATTGGGGTTGTATGCAAAAGAAATGAAGAAAAATACTATATTTTTCAGTTTTTGGTTTATCAAAGAATTTGCACATTAGTCAGGATTTGGAATCTACCTGTCTAAATCAGATGAATGAGGAAAGAAGACATGAGCATACCATTCACCCATAAAAAGGCAGCACATTGTCAGTTTATGAGCCTGGAGAGTTCTTTGTTAAAAAACAGAAGCCTGACTCCAAAGGACAAATATTCAGTACTCATAGAGAATCTGCAAAAATTGATTGCTTTGAAAAAGAAAGTTGAATGTTGGTGACTGGAGATGGTGTTGTTTAATTATTTATTTAGTTATCTGAAAGAAAAAATGAAGGCAGGAGAGGGATAAACAAAAAGTGAACCATTTTCTGTTTCACTCCCCAAATGCCTGCAAGGTGCAAGTCAGGGCCGGGCTAAACACAGGAGTCAGAAGCATTGTCTCTCACAATGGTGGCAGGGACCAGATTCTTGTACCATCATCTGTCAATTCCCAGGTACATTAGGAGGAGACTAATTAGGATCACAAGTATTGTGGTCAGGATTTGAACTGACACTCCAATAAGACATGAAGCTATCCTGAGTGGCACCTTAGAACACTATGTCAGAGCAACTATACCTTATTGTTTAATTATTTTAATTGCAAGTGATAATAACTAGCTGTTAGGATTGATCTTAGAATTAATTGGATGAATTATATGCTATATATATATGCTATATATATGATATATATATGCACACACACACACATACATGCCAACAATATGAAGTACAGAGAAAAAAAGCATATGGTACACTGGAATAGGTGCTACTAATTCCTTTTTTGGTTTTTCTGTTGAATAACACAAAGAAGTCACTGCTAAGTTCATGGGACATTTTCATCAACATTTGTTAAGCTAGCTCAATTTGTCACCATATGTAAATTTGTAAGTGTATGATTCTATAACTAGGTAAAGCTTGTTGAAGAGGATAAGAAAGACAGTGTATCAGGACTTCTTAAAATGAACTTTCATAATTAATTAGATGTCAGGCTTTGGTCACAGTGATGAATGATCTCTCAAAATTCATACAGCCTGTAAGATGTATACACATTATTCTGATTGTTCTTTAATAAGCAAAAAGTTAACCACTTTCAGTGTACCAGTAAATGTTTAAGGAAACAGTCACATGCAAATTAAACAATAATTGAAATCACTTTAGATTCTTAAAATTCTAAGTAAACTACAAATAGTCGTATGCTCAAATTGCCCCAGTTTGTGAAAAATAATTAGTGAAAGATACATACTTAAAAATCAATGTTGCTAAATTTAGAAATGGCAAACTACTATCTTTTGGTATAATATAGATGAAATACATTATTTGTTACAGAAATTTTAATAAATAAATTTTAAAAGAATTCTGTTTCTTCTTGTTTCAGGTCTCTGTGGTCAACCAGTTGGATATGCAAGTCATTGTTTCTAATGTGCCTCCTACTCTAGTGGAAAAGAAGATAGAAGATCTGACAGAGTAATGTATTTTATTTACTTCTATATCTGTTTTTCTTTAACTATATTTTTCAGGTGAATAGTTCAGTGTGATGTTTAACATAAACATAGATTTTTAAAATGCAGCAATAATGATTTTGCTTTATATTTTCTATATGTAGTATCACTGGAAACACATAAAGATTCTGAGAAATAACAATAAAAACTAGATACACGAAGATATTATCACTCAGAATACTTTGATGCATCAGAAAAATGTTCAGATGCTTCAAATAAGAAATCATAGCATGCATGTTTTTATTATACATCTTGCTTCTGAGGGCTTTTTCAAAGTGATGATGTCAGCACTTTTAGCTAGTCAAGGATATGCGTTTATTTCTCAGATTGCTGTATCTAGTCAGCCAGAAATGATTTTTTAAAACCAAAGGTAAGGTTAATTTCAAAGATACATTTACATTTATATATGTATTTACACAAAAGAATCTAGTTACTGATTGTAAGTGTGTGTTTGCCTCTCTGCCTACCAATTAGTATACAGTTAACTAAACTCTACATGTTTTTGTTGACTCAGCTATAACTCAATTTTTATATTAAACTGTTCTCTAATATTCTGATGGTATCAAGGATTATTCAAATTCCTTACAGTTTTGCTCCTGATACCCTACTGTCTTCTGTCACCTGTCAGCACAACAAATCCATAAACAGACTGAGACAGGCACTGAAAGAATCACAGATATGACACCAGAATTCAGTTAAACAGAGACAAGGATGCTCATGCTTTTGTGAAGCTCAGGAGCAAAAAGGTCCATTGTAGGATTATGTCATTTTGGTTTAGTTCATGAGTAGAGCTTGTTGGGAGAATATCAGGCGGTAATCTCGTACATCATATATGTCATGAGTTTACAGAAGAAGAGTATTCAGTAATGTCATAGATCATGTCTTGAATGTTGAGAATACACCAATGCTACATTTACATGTTGGTTTATAGTTCTGTTTTTGGACCCTGTATCATTTACTCATCTTCAGAGAGGTGGGTCTACTGTCCCCAAAGAACAAGTTGCTTTGTAACTACAAACTGACATATTCCCCCAAGGAGATAAAGACATTTGATGCTAGTTTGTCTAGTGTCCAATAGGACTAGAGCTTGCCTACAAGTCTCTATGGAAATGTGACTGTCTATGGACCCAAACTACCTTCCTAGGAGTTTCTCAGGAGGAAGTTACAAACCTGAAACTTAGGCTTGGGTCAAATAAAGAGCAGCTATGTCTCTAGCTGATCACAAACACTACTGGAGCATTGTATTATTATTTTTACATTTTGCATCTGTTTTTCTGTGTCTTCTATTGATTTCAGGCTGGCAAGTATTAATTATCACTTTCAACTTGCAACTCTTTAGCGTAATAGTCCTAACTAAATTGCTAAAAAGCTTTAAATAGTCATATAGCTCAACTTGTAGTATTTGTAGGCTAAGTAAAATATATTAGGATTAGGCGATTCACTGAAAGCAAAAATGTGTGCTTCATAATAATTGTTTTATAATATTTTCACAAATTTCATCTGTGTCACAAGAAATGCCTATTAAGAACTATGGTTATAATATTTATGCATGAAACAAGATGACTTACTTCTGTATACACTGAAGTGGGAATAGGACATAAATGCAGGATTTCAAATATGTGATATAAATGTCTCAAGCAGGATCTTATATCCTATGATGTAGGCCTAGCCCTCTTTTTTCATTAGGAGATATATATCCCCAAAGTTTCATTAGTGAGCACTAAATCATCACAAATAATAGTTTTCTGATGTATCTATTTCTTGGCAGGGAGAATTTTGCAAAGACAACCATAATACTTTGATGGCTAAGAGCACAGAATCTAGGAAGATATAATTTTTGGGTATATCTTAGGGACTGTAGAATAAATATGATTACTTCAGTTCCTTGGAATTAGACAAGAAAGCTCTACTGAATGCGTTTTGTTTTATTTATAAAATTTATCAATTTACCTTAGTAATGAATCATTGTTTTTAATTAGAATAATAAATAAATTTCAATGAGGATCTATCTCCCTTATAGCCAGGAGCCAAGAGCTTCTCTTAGGTCTCCCACCCGGGTGCAGGATCCCACGGCCTTGCACCATCTTCTTCTGCTTCCCCAGGCCTTAAACAGGAAGCTGCATCAGAAGTGGAGTACTCAGCATTGGCACCAGTGTCCATGTGGGATGCCAGCGCTGCAGCTGGAGGATTACCCTGGTTTACCACCATGCTGCCCCCCATATGTTTCTCTTACATACACATTCTTTAGAATAAGGTTAAAAAATAGCTGCAGAGATAAAGGTCAGATTACTGTATTGGAAAAAGGAAGTAGTTTGTAATAGATTCCACAGAAAAACTAAGAAAATTTCCAGTTTTTCTTTTTTCCAGTCCTCCCTTTCGTCATGAAGCACAAATGCAAACTCTGTGTTCAAAAGTTAATCCCTAAGAGACTGTAGATAAAGGCTTTTGAAGTCTAAATTAAAGAAGTTAGAAACAGCACATTAAATTTTGAACTGCAACTGATTAGGTCTCATGGTGGTGCTTACACTTCTACTTTTTAAGTACGAGGTGAAAATTCAATTATAGTAGAATTCTACTGAAATAGTTATTGATTTAGTGTAGAAGAGCTTCGGTTCCATGAAATATTTATATAATACCTGAAGTATGCCTGTATAATCAACTTATACTTCCTGGGATTAAGGTTACAAAACATAGTCAAGAAATATAGCCAAATCTTACATTTCTAGGAGAAGAATTGTACTGTCCCTTGAGGAGCAAGCTGTGAGACAGCAAATGATAAATGCCAGCACTTCTGCTTTCTTAATTTAATGTAATAAACAGTTGTTCTTGAGGGAAAGGTAAAGTTCATTTTGAATTCAGAGGGCCTTGGTTGAAACCCCAGTTCACCAACAACTTGCCAGGTTATTTCTGGCCATAAATTTTAACTTTTGAGTGCCAGTAGCAATATCTTCAAACTGTGAATTTTTTTAACTCAAAACTTAGTTGTAGGTTATAAACAACCTCTATGTGACTTAGTAGTGAACCATGTGAAGACACGATTGTTATGCAATTTGCCTTGCACAAAAATAGAAAACCCAAGAATAATATTTATTATTATTTAATTGAGAGGTTATGTTGGCAACGCCTGCATTGCCATGTACCCCGAGTCGAGCGGAGGGACTAGGGTTATGAGACAGACAAGACAGACAAGACACACAACACACTGAGGCTCATTCTTGTGAAGTGAGGCCTTTATTCAAAGTCGAACTCTCTTATATAGTCTGCTTGGCCCCTCCCAGGACCTTCCCAATGGTTAAGCAACACCTAAGCTCCCCCAAGGACGTGCAAAAAGGGGAAACAGGAAGGAGGGAAATTGCAGTCAGGACGTGCAAAAATGGGAAGCAGGAAGGAGGGAAATTGCAGTCAAGCCACGGGCTAAATGTATCAGGCCATGATTGCCCTTCCTGTTACACCTTTGAGAAACAGCTGAGCTGTGGAGTTAACCCTTGGGAGACCGGGGCCTACAAGGTTAATTTTTTCTTATTAATGCTGTGTATTTAAGAGGAAAAGAGAGAGTGATACTGACAGGCAATTATTTCCTGCCCATTGGCATATTCCCCCAGGTGCCCACAATACCCACAGGTAGAGCAAGCTGATGCCAGGAACTGGAGCTCAGTCTGGGTCTTCCATGTGGGTTGGATATTTCATACTTAGCTACCATTGGCTGACCCCACAGTGTGCCTTCAACAGGAAGCTGGCTCAGAAGCAGTATAACCCAGAACTCCAGGAAAGTACTCTGAACCAGTAGGCTACAGTCCCACATAGCAGCTTAACTAAATGCCCACCTCAACTAAATAATATCAGCAAATATTATATAGTAGATTGGGGAGACATAATTGTGATAAAGATAAGTAAATATAAATAAATTACATAAATTCATTGAAGGTATGTAACACTGTTCTACAGAGGGTAATTAAAACCTTGATGGTCTTTTAAAATTTGATAAGGTAATTAGATGAAGTGAGGGACAAGGTCCTGTAGCTTGGTGGAATATCAGACACATTTGCCAAGAGGGAGTGAGCTGTAGACAGGAAAAGTTAGAGATAACAGCCTGTCTCTCATATGAAGATGTTGATTTCTTTGTCTTTTTTTCTTTAAGATTTATTTGTTTTTATTGGAAAGGCATATTTACAGAGAGGAGAACAGAGACAAAGCTCCTCTGTCTGCTGGTTCACTCCCTAAATGGCCATTATATTGAAGTTGAGCCAATCAGTGCCAGAGTACAGGGACTTTCTCTGGGTTTCCCACATGGGTGCAGGGTCCCGAGGCTTTGGGACTTCCTCCACTGCTTTCCCGGGCCACAGGCAGGGAGCTGGGTGGAAAGTGGAGCAGCTGGGGCGTGAATTGGTGCCCATATGGGACCCAGCGCTTGCAGGTAGAGGATTAGCCAGTGAGTTATCTGCTGGCATCAAGGATGTGTATTTCAAGGTAGAAAATGAGTGACACAGAACTTTATGAGTAATACAGAACTTTTACTGAGTAAGATGGAAAGTTCTTAGAACAATTTTTCCCATGGTAGTCACTAGCTATTCTAAGGGTGTTCTTAAGTCATGGAGTTTCCTTATCTTATGTTTCTAAATTTAAACTGCTTTAAGCACTGACAATCACATGCCAATTTTCTCACAATTTAGGTGTGGTTAGCAGCAGAGTATGCACGGTTGATGTAGTTTTTATCAGATAATGAAGTGTAGCCATTTCAGTACTCCAATTTTGGGAAATAACATGAATACAAAACCTACAAAGTAAATTGAAAAAACCATTAAAATAACACTTTCTACATATAACAATGACATGTCACATTTAATATTCATGGCATAATAACTTTATTTCTATAATATAGATGTGATTCAGTTTTATTAAAGAGAACTATTCATGATTTTAAAGCAAGCTGAACATAATTGTTATTTTTCAACTTTAGTAGGAAAC